ATGATTTTATTATATAATATATTAATACATACTTTTGACCTTTCAATACTTAATAAAGAGATTTAAACTTGTTAGCTTTTAATTAAGGACCCTATTAAGGTTTTCAACCCAATTGCATTTTGGTTGAAGTTGTTAAATTCAGTATTATGGTTGTAAATTTCGGTTGTAGTGTAGTCAAATTTCAACTTTTGTTGGTATTACGGGTTTCAACTCTGTGTCAGTGGGAGTGGCTAAAGTATAAAAAAATTTCAACTGCTAACAAGCAGTTGTAGTTAAACATTAATGAATTTATTTAGTAAAAATATTAATAGAAAATGGAAAATGGGTAAAAAGAACTATTTTATATATAATTTCAAACTATTTTAAACAGTTATGTACAAATCCAAAGAAAGGTGAAACATTTGTTGAGCTCGTGGAATAGAATCCCAAAACTGGACAGGACAAGCTACAATGTGGAAACATTAAAATAAAATTATGGAACCGTGGAAAGTTTTTCGAATTCGAACATACAGCATCGATACTAACTACTCCTAGGAATATATTTTTGAGTAAAATAAAATTTTTTATAGCATCTTTCTCTTCTTCTTAATTCTCACTTATTGGCGTTTTGTTCACAGAGCAAATATGGTTTTCATATTATTTAAAAGCAGGTTTTGTAACAACCATAGATATCGTAGGTTGAATCAGCTCAAAGTTAAAATCATTTTAAATGCGTTCTTGATAACTACCGGCAGGAAGAAAATGGAGAGTTTATGGTAACGTTCCTTCGTCTCATTTAGTAAAAAGCAAAATGATTTTTCAGTTAAAGGAAACTACCTTATGAATATGTAATAAACATTATTGAAAAGCCATTTAATTGTCAATAAAACTTTGGTTTACTTGATGTAATGAAGTTCGAATGGAATTGAGTGATCACGAATTTTTTTTATTATGCGCAGCACATAAGTTTTCTTCCCAATATTTTTACCATTGTGATACAAATCAAAACTAATGACCATTTTAATAATTATTCACTTGTGTGAGCAATAACTTAATTAAATCCTTTTGATTTTTAGTTTAAACATTTTTAGCTGTTTAATTATATGTCAAATCTTCATTTTTTAGGTTGGCAACATTAATCAAATTTCGACTGAAAATAGTTGAAAATCGTAGTACCAATTCAACCGAGTGCAGTTGAAAACCGTTATAGGAGTATAATAAATGTTTTTAGTAATTTTCACATCACAAAACATTTAATCAAATACATTTAAATTTCGTGTTTGCTTTGGTTATCATTGGTTCACTAACTGCATACAACCGTTTTGATACTGCGTAAATAAGTTAAATCTAAAAAAAAACTTTAATTAGGATTTAAAACTATGTGTGCACTTATTTATTAATATTCATTAATATAAGCGTGAAATTTATAAAACATAGAAAAATTACATACTTTAATTTGTGAATTTTTGGATTTTAAGCGCGAATATCTGGAAAACTATAAGTCTCCTACGGCTATATGTGTCTATATTCTAAATCTGGAGAACATCTTCTATCGTTCCATATCCCCGAATTCGCTATTTGCTATACTAAAGCCCAGTTATCTGCGACTCTCGAATAGCTATATGCAGTGCAGAACAAGTAATGTTGGAAAAAGCTAAAATTTGGATTGCCTTTCTCAACTCATGTCTTTCTTCCCATTCCATGTTTTCATTATATTATAAATTGCGTGCAAAACTTCCAAGGTTTTTAAGCGGTTGGCACTGTTAGCAGGTAGTTTGTATGATTAACTTGAAAGTGCTTGATCATATAATGGTTCTGTGCGATAAGATAGATAAGAAGATAATGAATATTGATTCAAATTTTTTTTTCTCAAGTTGGTACATCTGTCGTGAGAGCACACGCAAAGTTACAAGTCATTCTTGTAAACAAAGAATGACTTGTAACTAACTTTGCGTGTGCTCTCACGACAGATGTACCAACTTGAGAAACAAAAATTTGAAGCTAGTAGTGTTATTTCTTGGTGAGAGCAGACACTTCACAACCAACATGTATGTTATAAAATATTTTATAAATTCGTAATTTTTTTGTTTTGTTAAAGGCTGTGTGTCAAACTGTTTTTCGTGGTGATATCTCAATAAGGAATGTTCTCCTTATTTTTGTTTTTTTTTATCCGAAATAGTGCAAACTAAAATTAAGATGAAATAATTAAATAAGTAAAAATAATATTTAAAATAATATTTTTGTAATTGATTAAAAGATCTTAATCAGGAGTGTTGTGGCATCCGATAGTTGTGGATAGTTGGAATCAAAATTGAAGCCGATAAAAAATGTAATAGGTGCCATGAATTCAGATATTATTGGTTTGACGTACGATTGTATCACGGAAACCAACTTCATAGGTTTTGTTATCAGAAACAAAGCAAGAGGATTTTTGCTGACAGATTTGAAATGTAAGTTAAGAAAATAATTTATATTAATGTGACGAATGTAACATTAATGTTTTTATATGGGTTATGTTTTCCCCCCTTAAAACACAAAACTTTATATTTATTTAGTTTATGAAACAAATCCAGATATTTTAAGAGGATTTACAAAACGTAATAAACGTAATTTTACACCCAAATGCGTCTTTATTTAGTCGATAATTAGATATAAATCTGTAAAGTAAGCAATGTATACAAACATACAAGTAAATGCAAGTCAAATTTCACATGCGACTCCCCTGGTGCATCAAGTGGATTACTGTGATCTTTTAATTTTTTCGTTCCTTTTTTTCCAATATAATAAAAGCTAAAATAGCGGAACTCATTTTAACCTTTAATATACTTTATTCGGTATTTCAAATTCATAAAATGTTTCCAAATTTATTCATTTGCAAGTTTTGTCACAATAGTAAACAGCTGTTTAGAATATTGGTTTTGCATATGTTCGAAATCCAATCAGATTCTGTGACACCATTGAAAATCAGAACTGGGGTGAAATTCTGACAACTACGCAAATCTGTCTTGGATTCCACAACACCCCTGCATGTAAATATATTTATGAAATCAGTCTTTTGTCGCCCAAACCGGGACGGCGAGGAAAGACGAACGGAGACGAAGCTCGTGCTTGGGTGGCACGCTTTGTGTTCTTTTTCGTAACAGTTCGCTGCTACCCAAGTCAGCATTCCTTTTCATTTCGAAATTCCTTTAATTTTTGCAATAGCGCTCGGTTTCAAATGAATATATACGATATGTTAGGAAATTTGAATTTTTATGTAATATGCAAATATGTATGCATAGAAATATTTTGAAAAATTGCGAATAAGGATAAAATTAAGATACTCAAAAATATTTAAATGAAATTTTTAATAACATTTAGCGGTATTAAATGTAGTATTAATTGTTAAAGTACACTAAAATAAAATATAATATAACTAGTGGACCCCGTCCACGTGTTGCTGTAGCTAAGGTATACATTAATTATAAATTATTCAATACAGTAAAATTGTATTTATGACTAAAAACGAAAACGATATTTCCGAATTTGAAATCACTTCCAAACTTGAAAATGATGAATACCAATTTTCCATGTTTTGCTATTAAGCACAAATAAACATAAAATATATAATATTATGGCAATTTTTTTATTTTATTCATTTTAGGTTCAAGTTTGTACCAAATGCGTAATTTTCAAAGTTGTTAGTTGATACCATTTGAGATAATGAAAGAGGCTGTTTTCAGAGCTGCCATCCATCTGTAAGTTCTTACGTGCGGTAGATCACATCTAATGCTTGTCGGCAAGATTCTGTGAACTGCTGAACGTTCGTTGGTTGAAATGGCGAAATTACAGGAGTACGTTTATTTAGCTCTTGCAGGTGCAACTGCCAGTTCGTTTTCTTATGATTCCTGAAATTTTCGACTTTGTCTTTTTATACTCTCGCAACCTGTTGCTACAGAGTATAATAGTTTTGTTCACCTAACGGTTGTTTGTATCACCTAAAACTAATCGAGTTAGATATAGGGTTATATTATATATATATAAATGATCAGGATGAAGAGACGAGTTGAAATCCGGGTGACTGTCTGTCCGTCCGTCCGTCCGTCCGTGCAAGCTCTAACTTGAGTAAAAATTGAGATATCTTTATGAAACTTGGTAGACATGTTTCTTGGTACCGTGAGACGGTTGGTACACTGCCACACCCACAAAACGCCATTAATTAAAAACAAATAAATTGCCATAACTAAGCTCCGAAATAAGATACAAGACTGTTATTTGGTACACAGGATCACATTAGGGAGGGGCATCTGCAGTTAAATTTTTTTTTTAATGGCGTGGTCCCGCCTCTAATAGGTTTAATGTGCATATCTCCTAAACCGCTAATGCTATAATAACAAATTTCACTGGAAGCAAATGTTTTTAGCACTTCTATTGACGGTGTGAAAATAGTTGAAATCGGGTGGCAACTCCGTCCACTCCCCATATAACGGTACTGTTAAAAACTACTAAAAGCGCGATAAATCAAGCACTAAACACGCCAGAGACATTAAATTTTATCTCTGGGATGGTATGAGATAACTTTATAGGAACCGCGTTCAAAATTAGACAGTGGGCGTGGCACAGCCCACTTTTAAGTGAAAACCCATATCTTGAGATCTGCTTAACCGATTTCAACCAAATTCGGTGCATATCGTTCTTTTCATGTTTCTATGTCATAGTGCGAAAATGGGCGAAATCGGACTACAACCACGCCTACTTCCCATATAACACCATTTTAAATTCCATCTGATTCTTTCACTTTCCACTATGCAAATCAGGCAACAATGACTGTATCGGGATAGAACTTTGCGTGAATAATGCGATTAAAGTATGCCACCCTGCGGCCAAAAATTGTCTAAATCGAACCAAAACTGTTCAAACCCCTAAGTACTAAATATGTGGACCCCAGTGCCTATAGTTGACCTTCTACCAAAAATATCAGTCAATCCACAAAGAAATCTCAAACGAGTATACTATTTGACTTTGCGAGAGTATAAAATGTTCGGTTACATCCGAACTTAGCCCTTCCTTACTTGTTTAATTATGCATTAAATGTAGCGGAAGAACTCTCCACTGGGTTAATCTATTTATCAGAGCTTCCGACACAAGTGTGATATCTAATACTTCTTGTTGGTTTCTTGTGATAAACTCGGCATACTTCCTCTTTTGCACAACAAAAGCTTATTTCCTAGCAAGTAATTAAAGAGACACTTACCTCTATCATTGACGTCTGTGCTGCCCCATATTGTATGGTGCGCGTTTGAGTCACATCCATCTCTTTTACCAGCTGAGATTGTACTTGCTGCTCATCGTATGGCATATAACCTGACACCAGCTGGTAACAACTTCCGGCCGTCTAACTGCTGCTTTGTCATGGTTGCTATAACGATGTAACATAAAAACTTTAAGGTTTTCCTTTTCCATTATACATGCCCTGGCCTTACCTTCACAATTTGCCATATATGGTATTGCTTATAGTTCGGTGTCCTCAGTCCGCAAATGCGTCCTCCATTAACTCTTGGCTCCTGAATGAGGACAAACTCAGGCTATTTTAGTGACACGCGGTTAATTAGAGCTACTGAAGCTAGTTTACTGTGATGGTTTTATCTGCGTCTTTCTGTGCAAAGGTTTGAGAGTCCATCTGCCAGCTCAGACTTCGAAGAACATTCACCTTGGTTTTTGCACGGACCACGCTTTGCTCCTGTCCTCACGCTGACTGCTCTCGAGCTCGTAACGAACGCGGCTCTCTTCTTGGAACAACTTGGCGGACTGTTACCAGCCCGTCCCTGCCTAGGTCGTAGTACTGTGGTATATATAATATTACCAGTCGGCACCCTCGGGTAGGGTTCAGCGGGGGATTTTTTCAGACCTGAGCAGTAGTTAGGAGCGCCAGTTTTTGCCTGATAGTGTGGTGTATAAGTACGAGGTTTAGCTTATTTAAACATCCCGATCCCCTAGGCGAATGTTTTGCCTATTATTACACGTATATGCTGTAAATGTCTTTGATGCGGGAATTGGTGCTTGAATAAAGCAACTTTACTTTGCATGTTTTTGTGTTCTAATTTAATTGGCGGCTGTTTTTAATTTCTTTATTATCGGCATTTTTATAATAGCAACTCAACGCCTGGCTCAAATATGGCCAGAATGGGTGCTCTTTTGAGAAGTATTTGTGACTTATTATTGGATAAAATATAAGTTAACCATGTAATTTTTAATGCCGATTTAGAATTTTCTTGAATTGGCGAAGATGAAAATCTAGTGCAGTATCTTATTAAACGGTCACTATCAGAAATGTATTTCGGGATAGAAAAATCGTTGACTAATTTTTTGCTTTGTTGCAACCTGTTTTGGGCGTGTAGCTTCTCCAGGTACACTTTGATTTATGTCGTCGTTAACATAATATAAAAATATTTATTAAAATTTGTGTGAAAGTTTAATATAATTTTCTCAGTGTAAACTAATTTAAATGCAGCAATAAATTATAATTAAATAAGAGTTTTTTTATTTCAGATTCGTATTAAATTTTTTAATTTGTATTTTATTTTTAGTATTTGTTGTGATTGTAGTTTATTATTTTCTTAATTTAATTGTGCAGAACCACACTTATAATTTATTTCTAAAAATTTTTTTGTATGCGTATGTTAATACACCCTAATATATGTATGCTTATGTTCTTGTGCAATTGAGAGCTGGTTGAAGAGATCAATGCGCTTTGTACATAAGTATGCACGAATTGAAGAACAAGCGGTATTGCTAAAAATATGCCAATGTGGGCTTTGAATAACATATACATAAGTACACTTGTATATACCATATGTATATGCGAATTTTAAGATTAATTTTTAAGAAATTATTTTAAGAATTAATAGGGCTTTGTTAATTCGTAAGTCGTTATTCGGTAGTTTTTTACGTGCATTCTGTTCTTGTAAAATTAACGGACTATTTGTTCCACTGAGTAACGAAGTACCAGCCTGGCAAGCTTGATAATTTTTCTGTTACTTAGTAACACCAAATCCGGTGTTGTTTTTGCGTCGTTATCTAAAAAGTTCTCGCTGCAAAATAATTTGGACACATTTTTCAAAAATAAGTATTTACAAAAATTGAATCAGCTGTTTTGTAACAAAATGTACCACACTACTGAAATAGAGCAAAAAGTATGTTTACAGTTAAGTGTTCGGTCGCGTGATGCCAGGAAAGATTAAACGCCTGTGCCCGATGTTGTATGTTTTGTAGCGTAAACAGCAATTTAGCAAATAGTCAAAACATAATTTGGACAAAACATGGACAATAGTAATTGATACATACGTATGTAGTATGTATATGTATGGTTAATGTTGAAAATCTGGCAACCACGGATAGCACGTATCATATGATTATTCCCCTTTACAACAACAACATTTTTCAGTTACGTACATCTTTGAACTTTGTAACAAAAATCTGTAATTCATGTTTTTAGTTTATTAAAAACTGTTGAAGTGATCGAACTCGGGACTTTTATTTATTCCGGCTAACTGTGCAAAGTAAGCAGTTAATATTATATTTTAATGATAATTGATAGCATGTGCAAATATCAATGCTCATATTTAGTTATTGACTTGGTAAATAAACTTAAACAACAATTATTTAAGTCTTAAAATATTAAATCTTATTTTTTCAAAAAATTTATTAGTAGAAAAAAGTAGAAATGTATCAATCATACTTCACCTAAATTTTTGTCATCCTCATAAAATTTATAAACGGTTCAAGAGCTCAAACAGGCTATGTCAGTTCGATCAAACCTACCCGATGCCATTTCGAGAAATGATAGCAAATACCCACATAAAAATATTGCCAACCTCCTCAATGGCAATGTATTTGACAGATGGTTGGAAATGTATATTGCCTTTCAAGATACGGCGTAACAGTCAAAGAGACACCGGCAGCAGGGATAAAAGGATGCCCAACTTATTCCAGTGCGAGATCTCCTCAAATGTTGCGTTTTTTATAACATTTTGCATTATAGCCAGGTCAATATAATAATTTCTGTGCATTTCAATTCAAACACCCAACATGTATTAAAATTATAAATTATTATATATACTTATATCCGTATGACACATGGAGAAAATATTTAAATAATTTTTGGTGATTTTGTGATGACATACTTCTCTTCATTTCTGACGGCAGCTAGCGCCTTACGGCGTAACAGTAAAATAAAGCTGTAACTTGTAACAGTTTGGTATATTAAAATTTTGAATGCTGTTTTTTTATATTATTATTATAGTTTTTGTACTAATAAACTATAATCTTTAACATACATAAATGTATCATAAACAGGGACGGACACGACCCTCACAAAATGACATTGTGTTAGTGATTATACTGTGTGACAAAGCGAATGAACGATCAAAAATAATCAATCTACTTGCAGAAGTCGAATGAGCGGGTCTAGTAATATTATTTCAGGTTAAGTGGCAATTATATTATAATTGAACAGTTTGATGTTTTAATATTAAGTGTGTTGCCCTTGCTAAATAAAAAGAGAATACAATGCATGCTGCACACAGGCAGCGAATATGTATAAAGAATAAGCGTGGATAGACAGGCTAGCATTGGATCTAATTATGTTTTTTTAGTCTCCATTGACAATATTGCTAGCAATACAAATCTTTATCAATCTTAAATTGCCTGTCGAGAGGTATGGTCAGGGGTATTGTCGGAAAATATTGCATATATTAGGTTAAGTTCTCGCTTTTTTTTTTTGTTTATGAAAATGAAATATTGCTAGCTACAAAGATCGAATACCATTACGGTAAAACTGAGCATCTTGTGATGCTATTCAAGAATCAAACCATTTTTCGATGTTGTTTTGTGAGTGGACATAATAATCGAACGGTGCAATATATGGGGGAATATGGCGGGTGAGACTTCCCATTTAAGCGTTTCCAGGTAGGTTTTAACGGATTTGGCAACGTGAGTTCGAGCGTTGTCATGCAGCATAATCACTTTTTTTCCCAGTGCATGTAGTCGCTTTGCAATGGCTTGACGTTTCAAATGGCGGTTATTTGTAAAAAAAAGAAATCGGAGATATTTGCACAACCAAAAGTATATCACACATAAACAAAGTCACTATTGTGGAAACGCAGTTTCATTTTCAAATGTCTAGGTTAAGTTTATCACGTTTAGGATATGTCAAAATCGACCATCACTAACTGCTGGAACCATCTATTGACAAACAGCGGGAACTTAGTTGCGCACGTAATAAATACTTGAGTTTGTATTGTTTATTGTGTTTGAGTAAGCATATTTACTAATTATATATTTTACCCAATTGTGTTGGGCTTTTCCCGTAAAATAAAGCTGTAACTTGAAACAGTTTGGTATATTAAAATTTTGAACGCTGTTTTTTTATTTTATTATTATAGTTTTTGTACTAATAAACTATAATCTCTAACATACATAAATGTATCATGAACAGGGACGGACACGACCCTCACAAAATGACATTGTGTTAGTGATTATACTGTGTGACAAAGCGAATGAACGATCAAAAATAATCAACTTCTTGCAGAAGTCGAATGAGCGGGTCTGGTAATATTATTTCAGGTTAAGTGGCAATTATATTTTAGTTAAACAGTTTGGTATTTTAATATTAAGTGTGTTGCCTTTGCTAAATAAAAAGAGAATACAATGCATGCTGCGCACAGGCAGCGAATATGTATAAAGAATAAGCGTGGATTACGGCCGACATTTCAAGCGGTGCGCACCCATGTAAAGGGACATCTGCTATGTAATGTGTTGTTTTATGTTTCATATTTCCAACATTTAAAAAAGGCACTTTATAATATTTTATCAAGTAAGAATCAGTAACATTTCCTACATAATTTGTGTTCCTCCGTCCGTACCCACCCATTCAGCATGGTATAAGGGAGTACTCACCTCGAGAGAGTAGGTTCACAATAAAATCAACATGGCCGCCTCTGCTTAATCAGGGTGGCGAGAGGTTAAAATGCGTTTCGCAAAACACAGAAAGCTGTAACTGTATTTATAACTATTATCAATTTTGGTTATAGAATGATGTTAACAAAAAATTAAATTATACCATCTTGATATAGATAAATACGTAGCACAATTTTATGCGTTTTAATTAACTTATTTATAAACAATCTGTCATAATAACTCATTTGAACAATCAAAAAAATATATCATTGTAAGATATATGAAGAGATAATATAAGAGCCGATGTTTTCTGTAATTTAGGTATACATTTTTTAATTGCAAATTTTATTAACGTTTTTTATTTCATCATGTAACGATGAAAATATGTACAATATTTTATTATTAACTATTTAGATAAAACAAACTACTTATTATATATTTTACGGTTTAGTTTTTAAATATAGTCTTCATATTTTTTAAATAAATTTGCAGAATTTGCAATATCTTCATAATATAAAATACGGTAGATATATTTCTTTCCTACAATGTAGTTTAAAATTAGCTTAAGCAACACTGTTACACCATACTCAGTTACAATATTGGCAACATATATTTTAAAAGTTTGCATATAACCAATAATTTAAGGACAACTTTTCGGTCAAAAGTCGGCCATCTTGGATGCCAATAAAAACTCTAATCCCAGACTCCCCTTGTCATATCTCCATAGACATCTCTTAGCTGTGATTTTGTTTACATCTTATCATCTGATAGTTTCTCTACTCCCCCTTTACGAGGCTATTCAGTCAACTCCTGATCGCAAACTAATTTCGCTGTCGCTTTGCCCTATCGTAAGTGCTCGTTTTTCGCTTTTCGTAAGATTTAATTTAATTCTATAACATCTCTAGAATATTGTCCTAAGTTCTCAAGTTGATACCAGTTTAGTTTTCGAGGATATGGTCACTTAAAACTTTAAACGCGTTTTTCTCTGTTTTCAAAGTCGGTTGTCAAGATTGTTTGTGAACTACTCAACCGATCTTGATGAAATTTTATAAAGGTGATACAATTTACTCGTGCTTGGACGAAGGATTTTTTTTTGTCAATTACAACTATTTAAACAAAAAAAGTGTCGAGCAAATTTGACCGAAATTTTCATTTTGGTGGAAAAAGGTCTGCCAAAGTTCCAATTTAAACTTTTTTTCCTTCGTTAAAGCACGACTTTATGGTCTTAACTAAAACACGTTTTCTTTTTTTTTCATTTTAGATGATCCTGTCAGGAATTATGCTGACAACGCGGACGAACCTTTTTTTCGAGGGGTCACCGAAAATGACTTTACAATTGTGAAGTTTTAATTTTTTTCTTTTGAAAATCTCAGAAATTATTCTTTAAATGTGTATCTTTAAGACAGAAAAAAGTTTGAATTAAATAAATAATTTTTTATTTAGAAACAAAAATTATTGAAAATAGGCCTTTTTTTACCCGACGAAACCCATTTAACCCCTTAAATAAATGCGGCAGTGGCAAATTACTGTCAAAAATTTCTCATGCCCATAGTTTTGTATGCCGCATACCTTAATGACGTGGCGGCAACGCTGAGCGGTTGAAAAATTCCAATTTGACAGCTCGTAAAGACGTAAAGTTGGCTGCAGAAAACGAAGAAAATGTAATTTTGCTAAAAAATTTCTTGACGCGCGTTGTTAAATGCTTGTACAAATTTATGTAAGTATTATTAATAAATTAATTGGTTTTGCATTTCATTTCTTGTGTACTAATTTCAGAATTCTGGTGAGAATTTGACCTAAAATTCTCGCTTTTGGTATTTAGGGATGTCATGTCGGCATTTGGCTAGGTATGCCAGTTAGTGACTTTGCCCATCCCTGATCATGAATTAAAAGAAAAGAAAGCGATACGACTAACTTATATATTATATGTACGTGTGTGTCGGCGGGTATTCGGGCCTTTGTTCTCAATTCCCAATTCTAGTTAGTTGTGCCTGGTTTTAGGGAGTTTTTTTTTTATTCTAGTTTGTTTTAATTTGGATCTTGTTTAAGTGGTAGGTATTTATGTATGTTTTACTGCTGGGTTACGCGCCCGGTTGTAAAGTTTTTTGTTACTTGAAAATGTTTTGTTTGTTTGCACTGTATATTTATTATTTTCACCGAACTTATATTTCTTATTAGAAATGCGTATGCATATAATGGGGCTTACACAATTATAACTTATTGTCACCTCTTTTTTGTTTTTTTTTGCAAATTTTGTTGCAATTTATATTTTCTGCATGCTACTCTACTGTTTCTTTTAATTTTAGTATATTGCGGTATTCATTTTGTTTTTGTTATGCATGTATGTTTTTTTTTTTGTTAGCTGCACATTTTACATACATATATGTATCAAATATACATACTTTTCTTGGTGTACTTTGTTGCCGCACTACGCTTCCCGGAAAGGCAGTCGATCGCCTTATATGGTGCCAAAGTTATCTCAGTTACGAGACAAAGGCGAGGGTTGACGCTTCAGAGTCGACCAACGCATGTAAGGAGTTATCTCAACTAACACCTACCAAACCGGCTTAGTGTTGCCGGGAGGGGAATGTTCTCCGAGGCCTGCCAGAGTTTTAGTGGGACGGAAACAGCCTTGATATTAACCCATCAGCAAGGTGTCACCTCTGTGTACTCAGGTGACAGAACACCTAGACCGCCAGTCTAGGGTTCAAAACTATCAAACTAATAGTCAAACGTTCCAAAACCACAATAAGTAATGATGACAAACTACAAGTTTGTTGGAGCCAATGACCCAATTGCACTAATAATTTCGATTTTGTCAGAATGACTACAAATGCATTTTTGGCAACGTAAAAACAAAGTGTCAGCAACCCGTATTTCCTAATATCGTTGTATATATCCCAATATTGTAGAATATAAGCGAATAATTGTAATAACGAAACGGGCGAATGTAAAATAAAGTATAACCATTAACAACAAACGACTAATTGTTTTATTATTTTTGGTTCACGCCGGTACATTCGACTTAATTGGCGTAGTCGGTTAAAAAATAATCTATCTAAAGATACATAAGAAAGGACAATAACCGAAGGTAAATATACCCTAATATATACAAAAGGACTACAATCTAAATTTAGTCCGAGTGAAAAATCATAAGAAAGGACAATAACCGAAGTTATGTCCAGTGCGGAAAATATATCCTAAGATATACAAAAGGACTACAATCAAAATTTAGTCCAAGTGAAAAAACATAAGAAAGAACAATAACCGAAGTTGTGTCCTAGTGCGGAAAATATATCATAAGATATACAAAAGGGCTACAATCAAAATTTAGTCCGAGTGAAGAAACTTAAGAAAGAACAAAAACCAAAGTTATATCCTAGTGCGGAAAATATATCATAAGACATACAAAAGGACTACAATCAAAATTTAGTCTTAGCAATAGTTTGGGCAGTAATTTACTTTAGGCCTTTCGTTTATACAGAAAATTTGAATTGGAAACATCTTATCAACCGCTAGTTTGGCTTAAGTCCAAATACAATGGCAAAGACATAAACCGAGACTCCAGAGATGGCTTTTAAAATTGGGCGAATATGTTTTTAATATTAGTTATAGTTACAGAATATACATAAATACTGGCGAAATCAATGCAATATCCGATAACACAACTCATAACAATACCAATCAGGGACCCTCAATAGAAGAAAACATTAGTACCAATGACACTATACATTCGCAAGTCGAGGAGCAAAACGACCATTTCCCCATCCTAGATACAGTAGTAAATCGTTTTCACACACAAATAATACTCACGCAACACAAAAGTCAGGAAATAAAAATTATAAATTTTAAACGCAAAATTTTCTTAAATCACTAAGATATAGATGGAAATAATATGGCAGATATATTTAATAGATTCCTAAAAAATGGAAAAGTAGGCATTTTTTCAGAATTACCAGATAGCGAATACAACAGGGTTCAGCAGAAGCATACAATTTTACAAACGTTCGTATCACGTTTTAGACTTAAAAACCGAACGAGATACCTATAAGTGGATAGCGAACTACCACAAAAAGGAAACAAATGCATTTTTGGCAACGTAAAAACAAAGTGACAGCAACCCGTATTTCCTAATTGTATTCTTAACTTTCAAATTCATTTGCATTACCAAATCGCACATTTAGCTAAGTAAACATTATTGTAGAATATAACCGAATAATTGTAACAACAAAACGGCAGAATGTAAAATAAAGTATAACCATTAACAAGAAACGAATAATTGTTATTTTTTTGTTCGCACCGGCACATTCAACTTAATTCGCGGCCGTTCCCATAACAGTCGGGTTTATGTAACCGGAACGGACCCGAATTTTTTCCGGCCAAGGACTGTCAACTTGACAAAATTCTGCCGCTACAACTTAATTCGCGGAGCCGAACCTGCTCTACATCCCTTGAGACTTTTATTCATTAGTTTATTTTCAGCTGTGATTGAATAGTCTATATTATTTACACTATATTGGCAATCAGTTTGAAGATCATTTATTCGTTTTTTAATCTTTTCCTTTTTTTTTTACAGAATGAAGCTATTATCTCGTTTCTTCGGGCTGCGCGCAGTGGTGACTTGGGAAAAGTATTGGAGTTTTTGAAATCTGGGCAAATCACAGATATCAACGCTTGCAACGCTGTGAGTATAATGGTATTTCGTATTAAAGATATAAATATTTATTTTAAATAATAATAATGGTCCTAGGCAACAAAATTTCTGAAACGCTTAAAATGTATAAAATTATATCCATAGATTCGTCGTCACATAGACCAAGGAGAAAATCCCGTTCTGTTAGACTGTGTTCACATTAATCTAGGACTCTTTTGCCGCCCAAACCTGTTCTTAATAAGCGATATATATGTATGGTTTCTTTGTTAGATATTTTTATTTATATACAGGAGGATCCCGTTCTTAGATTTGTTATTAAGCTCAAATAAACATAAGATATAAGATATAGGATTTTTTAACTTCCCGCTAAGAAAATGGAAAATTTTCTAAAAATCGGGAAGATATTGGTTTCACCCCATTTTGCAAAAATCGAGTTCTCAACAGATCTCGACGTTCTGAGGGTCGAGGAAGCTTCTCCGAACATTTCTACGATGATGTCCGTATGTCTGTATGTATGTGTGGATGTATGTGTGTGTCTGTGGATGTATGTGTGTGTGTGTGGCTGTATGTGACCCTCTTATAACTATTATACTGCTCAACCGATTTGAATAAACTAAACGGCATTCCAAAGGGTTTCATTGCACTTGAATTTCGTGTAAGTTTGGACCCAATCGGACCAGTAGATTTCGAGAAATCTCACAAATAAAAATTTTGAAAAATCGAATCGAATTTTTTCCAAACGACTTGATCGATCGACACCAAAAACTAATCAGTTCTAAACCTTGAAGAAACACATCGTTTGCCGCAAACCGGGTCGAAATCGGTTGATTTACTTGCGAGATATCGAAAACGAAAAATTTCGA